CTTTGTAATTTGTTGTATGTCGGTGAGACTGGCCGTCGTCTTGGCGATCGTATCTGTGAACATCTTCGTAGTATTCGTAAGAATGATCTTGATAAGCCTTTTTCCCGCCATTTTAACTTACCCAACCATTCTATTTCTAACTTTATTGTTTTTGGTTTGTCTTTGGTTAGCGGCAATAATAATGATTGTCGTAAAACCAAACAAATGCGGCTCATTCACCAATTGGGCACTTATAATCCCCATGGGTTGAATGAACGTTTTGTTTTCAGATAAGTTTTAATTCTTTTGTTTCCTTTTTAGCACCTTTATTGTTCTTTTGTCTAACACTTCCTTTGCTTTTTTGTTTATTTCTCGTTACCATGCCTACCTTGCTCCTATTGGTCTATTTTCTTTGCTACTCTTACTATATAAACTCACACTATACCTATTTCTCTCTCTTTACTCCGACGAAGGATTAACATCGGAAACGTCAGTAAGTTATTTCCCATACTTTTTTACGGTGTTAAACTTATCTTCTTTACACAACTGTTTCTTTAGAAACACCGACGCAGCTCACACTAGTTTACCGCTAGTTCCCACCAAGCAATGTTTTTCGTCTAGCTTGCGCAGTAAGAGGGACAGGGGCGCTGGGTACGAGATCCAACAAAATGTTTTGCGCAATGTTTTTGTAGGGCAAGATCGCTGTACTCTGTAATTGCAGACAACCGCTATCGCAGGGTGTCCATCGGCCGTAACAAGTGGAAGTCGTTGATTCCTGGCTCGTCTTTGCAGAGAAACTGCAACCGAGAGGGATTCAATTCCAGACCAGTAACTAGTAAAGTTGCCGCCAGGGTGAGAATCGGTATTGTATCAAACCAGCAGAACCACTGCTACAGCCCTGACTCCCGCATTGGCTTTGGAGGTGCGGGCTGGGGTTGTGGGAACAAGCCTGCTAACACCGTGTTCACTGGAAACCAAGCAAGATGCAGTGCGGACAACGGGAACAAGGCCATTAAAACGTTCGGATACATATTGGTTCAGTAAATTGTGTTAAAACTGTTTCCTGCCAGATCCATTATTTCTTACTTTCTACTCCCTTCTGAAATTTTTGACTGCCATTCTATCATTTTTAAAATTAAAACCACAATTCAAAACAATTACTACCATTGTGATCTACTGATCGATGCAATCTTTCGACACTCTTAAGTCAATGATATACATTAAAGTCTCCAGATTACCCAAGATGCCTTGTGGTTAAACAGATATCCCATGATACACTGTGTTTCAAACTTCCTTGACCTAAAATGTAATCAAAATGAGCTAAAGGTATAAGAGAGAAAGCAATCGATGATTCCTTAACCCTTCTGACTCGTTTGTATTCTTTAAAAGTAAAACTTCAAAATGATATAAATCAAATTCAACACTAACTAAAACGCTAAGGATTATTTTCATCGTTATCATTGTCATCATATCCTCCTGTGCAACCTGTTTCTGTAACAGCAGACTTCTAAATAGAATAACTTAACAAGAAATAATGGTTCTGGTGCAGTTTGAATGAGAAATTAACAGTCCACTATAAATTAAAGGTAAAATATTAAGGGTAACTTAGTACAGAATGAAGATAAATTTTCGACACAATCACATGATTTGTTTCGTATTTTTTACCATTGTGTATGGACAGTAAATTGTAATGATAAGTTATTAAAATTAAAGCATTATAAAACTGATCTTTAAAGGTTTCAGCTTGTATGAGTTATATTGTTTGTCCTTTTTTTATTGTTCTTTGTATTTTTTGCTTTCGAGATGAATAATAGGCATGGTTTTTCTTACCATTTCTTCCCATTTTTCTCTTTTAAGACTCAATTGTCCTTAGGGATTAGTTTTATTCTAAGTCAGGCTTTTGTTCTATTTCTTCCCATTTTTGTCCCTTTCAAGACTCAGTTGTCCTTAGGATTAGTCTTATTCTGAGTCAGTCCTCTGTTCTATTTTCTTTTTAAGTCTCAGGTACTGCAATAAAAATGAAAAAAATTACATGTAAGATAAAAACGAAATATAAAATGGATAAAAGAAAAAGATAATTATGCAATCCTTTTTCAATTCCAAACACTTATTTGAACTCATTTGATAGTTCATGTCCATTTAAGAATTATTAAAATTTTCATAACTATAACATTTCACAAATAACGAGCTCACAAATGATTTCCATGAAGGCATCAAAAAATCTATTTTATTTTTCCATATGGTGGTTTTCCTCAAATTTGAAAAAGAAAAACATATAGTTCATTCGCACTTTTTAATAATAAAATAAAGAAAGCAAGCACTAAAAGCATGAATCACTTGTTCTCACGTTTTTCCGACTCTCAATAGCCTGCTGTGTCCATAGCAACTCCATGGAAACCTGCTCTCGTCTATGTTGTAAGTCGCTGACAGACAGGTCTGATATGSTGCTTGCTTCATCACTTCTGACTGGGTCTGGGTAAAAATGCTTTTTCAGATTCAAAACAAAAAAGTATTTCATTTTCATCTAATGTTTTCTAGCATTAGAAAAAGAATGACTATAATGTGATGAATATAGACTGACTTGAGAAATTGTGGACCAATAACTATTAATAATTATTAATTGGATACAAATTAAGTGTTTTTATCTGATTATATTAAAGGTGTACTTGGACGTAATGTATGGTCGTTTTGAAAAACCTGCAATATTACGTCTTAGCCGCTGAAACTTTCTCAACATAAAGATAAATAAACAAGAAATCACTCTGTAAAGTTTCATTTTGATATTTCAATGGGAAGTATGACATATTTACGATTTAGTTTTCGTCCGCCATTATTTTCTTTGATCATCGATTTGGCTCAGGAGAATGGGTCTAGGAGAATGGGTCTAGTTTGTATTGCTGTGAGCAACATTAATTATACATTGGCCATCCATCATTTTTTTTTAAGTTTCTTATTTGCAGTACTGCAAGCACTGCATGAAAGTTTAGTACTTAGATGAAAATGTCCCACTTTTGATACAAAGCACATAACAGCTTACCAAAGGACTTGTCAGTCATCCAACTCTCTGTAAGTACTGGGTGTCCCTCAAGGTGTCTGTTAATTCTAGTGTTCTGTGTTGGTACGGGTGTACTATGTTGCGAGAAGACAGGACTTGTCATTCCTGATTGGCAGTTCACAGAGGTTGTGTTACTCCCAGAATCCTTTGCATGTAGATACCCATGATCCTTTGCAATTGAATGCCCAGAATCCTTTGTTTTCACTGAAACATTAGGGTTCTCTTGATTCCTGGTGCTTTCAAAATCCTTTACATTATCCAAATCTTTTGCATCCTCAAAAAATGCAGTTTTGGCATCATTTTTGATACTCCCAGAAACTCCAAGGTACCCAGAATCCTTTATTGGATGAAATTTTCCACTCCCAGAATCCTTTGCATTCTCATATTCAGAATCTTTCGCATTCAAATTGTGCTTAGACATCTCAAAATCCTTTGCAGATGCAAAATCGCTTGAATCTTCTGACAAAGTATCAACATCATTTAGAGGATCTCTTTTGCCTTCTTTGCTAACAGTCCACTCTATATCTTTGGTATGTGCCATGTCAAATCTTCCTTCAAGATTTTGTCTAACTGACTCCGTAKATGAATTGTGGGTCAGCTTGTCTTTGCTAACATTTAGGTTTTCAACATTTTCTAATGTAATTGTTTGGTCCTGATCATCACTACTGGTCTCTGCAGTCTCGATTTCCTCGTTTTTGCCTGTTTGCCTATCAAAGGTGGGTATTTCTTCGTCCTTTTCAATATTGTTTGTGACCAAAGGAAATGATAAAGTTTTTGAATTCCACAAAACACGAAAACTTGGCCCGTCCAATTCGTGAACAATATTTTCGAACTCTTGTCGCACTTCATCTAGCTTTGATCGCACAAATGCACCACGAACATGAGCCTACGAAAAATAGACACAAAATTTAATTTTTGAAAAAGTCAAGAAATTTTACGCAGAAAAACACTTCTGTTTCCTTAAAAAATAGAGCATAATATCAATCAGTCAAAGTAAAATTCATGTATTCACCTAAAACAATGTTCATTTGCAAGATTACCTGTAAATTTGTGATTGCTTTCTCGTCTATTTTTCTCAAATCCAAATCTGCCGCCATTTTGTTTGTTTGTACGTAACGCGCAGGCTTAACGCTGTACATCCACTGACTARAGATACTACCGGCTCGTATTACACCATGGACTGACATTCACTTTTAACTGTTTTTTCGTCTTGTAAAAGAACTTTGAAGACATGGCGGCTGTTGAAAGTAAAGGGTGCAAGCCTAAGAAATATGAATGTAAGTTCACTTCGGAAATCATGGAATCATTGTACAAGTTTAATGGTTGAATCGTACAAGCTATTTCKCAAATGAGCTTAAATTGCAAATTTTTGAATGTAAGGTTATTTTGTGGAGATAGTAAATTTATATACTGATTAATTGTACAATATGACTTTTTATCTTTGTCAGATCTTGACCATACTGCTGATGTACAGTAAGTTTGACAACTTTGCATCTGAAACTTAAAACCACAGGAAGCCCAATATGATTTATATTATTTTTTCTGATTCTCTTTTCCAGACTTCACGCATGTATCCTTAATCTTTTGAGTCAAAATTATTTATTTTCTTCAACTGTTCTTTATTTGAAGCTAACTACATGTAATTTGGAACTTGCTTTTTCCAGTTTTTCAGTTCAGTTTTTATAGTTTAAGCTTATATTTTTCCTGAAGTTTTTCAACATTCCAACTTAGAAAATACACATGCTTGTATAAGGGTGAATAGCAATCTGTGCTCCAGTTAAATTCTTATCTAGCATATTAAATCTATACAATTTCCAAATAGGGGTTTGAGAACATAATGCACCATTCAGATGACCTGCCAACCTGCCCCAGATAGTATTATATGCTTTCTAATAAAAAAATAACATTTAAGGAATTCTAAAACAGATATGAATCAATCCTTGACAACTTTTAACATAGGGGGTGACGATCTAAAAGAGGCTTTTGAGCAGGTACTTTTAGAAAAATATATTCAAAAGCAATATGGATTATCAAATACAACTGCCTACTACTGAATACCGAAGCTCAATCAAAATCTCTTATTGTTTATAAGCTGGTGAAAATGGTATTTTATTATCAGGTTGCGGTGTCAATGTTTGGATACATGACAGAGTTGGAAACAGTTGACATTGCAAGAGAAGAAATCATAGAAGCTGAAGGTGTAGCTTTACAAATCAATGTCGAAATTCATACTGGGATGATAATGGTCGAGCGACTATTTCTTGGTTGTAATTTTAAAATACTCTAGTTTCGAATTCTCCAATGCTCTGTGTTAGCCTCACTTGTGCGCAAAATATTTCTTAGTTGTGAGCGTAAAAGTGTGATTTCAAATCAAATTTATTGTCTTTCTTCACAAATTCCATGCGTTCTCTCGAGCTATCAGTGAAACAAAAGAATATGTTACTTGGTTTTGAGGCTAACACAGAGCAAACCAGAACTCGAAATTGGAGTATTCATGGGTCTCCCTCCAACAAAGTTTTGCATGCCTGTTTGCTCCTTTTTGTCTATTTGACTATTTTCTTTAATAATTTTATTTTAGGTGAAGATATGCTTTCTCTGTTGTTTCACTTTCTTGATGAGTCACTATTTCTGATGTGTGCAGATCCATATTTTATTGTCAAGGTATATGCATTGGGTTACCTGTGTATTTTTACCACAGGAATCCCAAATTACATTGTTATACATTTTCCTTTTGTTGTAAAATGCTATTCACAAATCAGTTGTTGAGCTAAAGTTTAGTATTGCTCTATTCCATTTAAATTTTAGGAAGTAGAAATCACAGAATTTGATAGAGAAAATTTCAAGATAAAAGCGATTGAGTAAGTTTATTTTCCTTAGAGGAATGTCGATATGTTTTTCAAACCTTTATTTCCAAGGCAACACTTGAAAATATGAATATTGAATTTAAGTTAACATTATTTATTTTCATCTCTTTCATAGAAGAGGGGAAGAATTTGACCTGAAGAAGCATCCACAAGTATGTCAAGCAATCAATCATCAATCAATCAATAGATCAATCATTCAATCATTCAATCATTAAAATAATCAATCAATCATTAAAATAATTGATCAATCATTCAATCAATTACTGTATTCAATCAATCAAATAGTCACCCAATTAATCAATTCATCAATGATTCAATCGACTAGTCTYCYYGCAGCCGTTCTTAGTGGTGGGCTCCCTGTGGGCAGGGGACAGGGAGCCCGCCACTAAAAACGGCTGCGAGGATACTATCAATCGACAAAACAATTAGTCARTCAATGAACATTCAATCAATCAAACATCAACTAGTGAGCTAATTATTTTGTGTGTATTTTAGGGAACAGAAGTCAAAGCTATCACATATTCCAATATGCAAATACACGATAATGACGAAAAACATGAAGTTTTTGTAATTATTGATATCTAAATATTAAGTAATATAAGTTTTCTTTGTAAAATATCACAAAATATTTAAAGTCAATCAAAACGTGATTTACATATTATGATTTGAACGTTTTAGTAATTCAAGCATTTTTTAATGTACATAAAATTTAATATTTAGTTCTCAGAGAACTTTTCATTTTTACTCACAATTACCTGTTTTTGATTATGTCCCATTATTATTTATACGCAATATGAAATAATTAAAAATTAGCATAATATATAACTATTTCATTAGCCTGTGTATATCTGTTTCCACCCCTCCCACCAAAAGGGAAAATTTCTAGGGGGAGGGGGAGAGGGTGACCAGAGTTACACTAGTGTTCAATGTCAAACAAATGAAATAAACTGAAAAAAGCAAAGCTTCGACAATTTTGTTGAATTGATGTGTATTTTGGCAATATAAAGGAGCTGGTAATTCTATTCTTAAGAAATATAAAATGGTGCATGTGTCTCTGTCCTCTGATATAAACACGGTGGGAGTTCAAAAAACGCGAGAGAAGCAAGCTTATAGGAACACGAGCGTAGCGAGTGTTTCTCTTGCTTTTCGAGTGTTTTTCAACTCCCACCATGTTTATATCAGAGGACAGAGGTCTACACAAGCGGCTGTTTTATATTTCTTTTATAAAATTTTTGGAGCGAAAAGAAAATTTTGCCGGTAAGCCATGTCTCTGTCCTCTGATATTAACACGGTCGTCAGCCAATCTGAGCGCGCATTATATGTATAAAAAAATTTATAAAGTACTCTATTGTTTGGTTTATGGAGAAATCACAATGAATTTGCATCAGATATGACAAGAAGCAAACTCTCGAAAAAGGTAAGAAAGAAATTCAGCATTCGAACCACCTTAAACTTTGCAATATCCGTAAACTTATCGGAACTTCCGGAAATTCGCCGAAGCCGCGCGCCATGAAATCGATTATGAAAAACTGGCGGGAAAATCCACGTGATATTTGACACTCTATAACAAACATGGCGACCCTCTTTTCGTACTTCACCAAAACACCTAAAAAACCGTCTCCAGCTGAAGGAGACAAAGCAGAAGGCGTAAAAGAAAATAAAAAGCCTAAGACTACAGCAAAAGGAATTTCTCCCCCGAAGAAGAACGGTGCAAAAAGCGGAATTGCAGCGCCATGTGGRGTTTCAAATGGTCGAGTAGTCAAGGCCGAGTTGAAACAGTTTGATGTAGTTTGGGCTAAAATGGATGGCCATCCTTCGTGGCCTAGTATTATATGCGATCATCCGACTAAGTTGAAGTTCATAGAAGATAACCAGTGCCATGTGCAGTTCTTTGGAGATCCACCAAGTAGGGGATGGGTCAATGTCAAGTAAGAATCACTTAACTTAACTTCGTTAATATAACTATAAAGAGGAATGAGCTAAAATGAGCTAAAACGAGCTGAAATGAGCTGAAATGAGCTACAATGACCTAAAATGAGCTAAAATGACCTAAAATGAGCTACAATTTGCAAAACATACAAGATTTGTTTATAAACACAAGGAAGATTGAATTGCACTAAATCAGAGAAATATATTGTTTGATTTGACAATGGGAAACATAAGATCGAATTAGCATAATTTACAACTCATTGTTTTACACATTAATCACATCTACTGTGTTATAACCATAGTGGACTGCTTACACTATGTTCATGAAATAAAATCTAAATAGTTTTATTTTAACAAATCGTTCTTATTTAGTGACTATCATTCAACTGGAACAGTCTTAGTAACAACACATTCTGTACACTTGGGAAAACGAATACAAATTAATTAATTAATTAATTTAATAAATAATTATTAATTAATTAATTAATACAAATGTTCCAGTTGAGTGATAGCAACTATTTAGTCACTAAATTGGAGCTATTAGGTCGTAACTGTTTAGATTTTATTTCATGGACATAAAAAAGCACCCTAGTACAAATATATTTTACTACTTATTTCGTTCTTGTTTGCAATGAATGTATTTTTTAATTTTGGTCCTTTCRCCCATGCAGACAGATYCAACCATTCATARAAGGRGAGAAAAAATTACCAAATGACACATCTATCAGAGAAGCAGTCAAAGAAGCAGAGAGTGCATTGCAACTAAGCGTCAAAGAAAGAGCAAGCCTTATTAAGTGCGTACCATCAGATGACGAGGATGTTGATGAAGACATCAGTGATGACGTATTGATGGAGTGTGATTTGGACTCTCTGGAAACTGGGAATGATACAAAGAAAGAGAATGAATCTGATGATAATGATGAAGTTACAGGAAAAAAGGTACTTTGTTGTTTTACATGGTCCAAATCTTACCTGAAAAATATTTTATATTTAAGAAATATAAAACGACGTGCATGTCTCTGTCCTCTGATATAAACACGGTGGGAGTTCGAAAAACACGAGAGAAGCAAGCTTAAGAACATTTTGCTGGTAAGCTGTGTCTCTGTCCTCTGATATAAACACGGTCGTCATCCAATCAGAGCGCGCGTTATATATAAAAAATTTTATAATAAGTATTAAATGTAATTTTTTTTTTTATATTTGTATGTTTAGTAACCTTTACATTTATTTTTTTTAGTATAATAGTCGACAGCCAAAGAGAAAAGCCAAATTAAAGGGAAAAAAGAAAAGGAAGAGAATAATGATTGAGTCAGGATCAGAAGATGACGGAAGTGAAGGTACATTGTCACAGTTTTCAGTCCCCTGAAGTGGGCTCCTGTGCTACAGACTAAATAAATAAATAAATAAAGTCTCTTATTTTGAGAGGGTAGCACGTAATAGTCTCTAGACTAATAAACTTGTAGCCCTCTATATATTCACTCACACTCACTACCTCAACATTCATTATTTTACTACACGATACTCCTCACAGCTTGTTTTTGACTGAGGGAGGAAAACCAACGGACCTGGAGAAAAACCCTCGGAGCAAGTAAGAGAACCAACCTACAAACTCAAATCACATATAGTCCCGGACCGGGAATCGAACCAGGACCACAGCGGTGATAGACCAGAGTTTTAACCGCTCGGCCATCCTTGCTYCCCAAATTATCATTATTATATCATTATTATAGCTCCTTGTGGTACAGACTACACAATTACACCTTGTAATATTCACACCACTAATAATGTCTGCGAAGAGGCTTCTTTGGGAATAGGCATTGTTTTAAAGCTAACAGATCAACAGATCAACAGATACAGGGGTGGGGGTGGGGAGGGGCATGTCAATTTGGTAGGGAGGTACTGCAAGGCCCTAAAAACATGACCCTCTTCCAGATTTTGCAGACCATATCCCAGACTCAACCTAAGAATTCTACACCCTACTTTACTAACTTTCAAAGGAAAAGTGCAGCTTATTCTTTAGCACTCCCCCAAAAACCCCAAAAAAGCCCAAAAACCATACCCTGTATTGCAACACATACCATACATCCAACCAATTATTTCCCCATTGTATTTTGTCCTGAAAGTGAGATTACTTGAGACTAGTGGRGTTTTCAGCTATGTCTAGGAAAGTTGGATAATAGTGATGACAGTCATTACATGGCAACTTACAGAGAATATAATTTTCATTTTAAGATGATTTTAAGCCTGATGAGGAGTCAAGCGATGATGATAGTGTTAGTAGCGGCGTTGAAGAATGCGATGATGATGAACCAATGTCAGAAGAAGATGAAGAACAGAGTGTAAGTTGTGTTTTATGGTAACATCACAATAGATAATCAATAGATAATCAATAGACTGCAGTGTTTCAGTGGTGATGAAGATACCCATTGATTCAAGCTCTCTGCATAGACTTTGAATGGATTTTATTTGTAGAAATTATTGCTGGATTTCAAACCATGGGGGAGTGGACAAAATCCCCTAATTGGATAATCATGACATAACTCTTATATAGAAAGAAAGCCCTTGTTGAGAAATGAAAAATTCCAAAATTTGATGTAAATCAGTTCAATAGAGAGTGAGTTACAGCCTTTCAAATATTCTAAAATTTCCAAAGAAATGTATGGAAAGCCGTGAATGTGTCCGGAAAATGGACAAAATTCGGACATTTAGCGGCTTCCCATACATTTCTTTGGAAATTTTAGAATATTTGAAAGGCTGTAACTCGTTCACTATTGAACTGATTGACACCAGATTTTGGAATTTTGCATTTCTCAGCATTGGCTTTCTTTCTATGTAAGTCTTATCTCGTGAAATCTTGTGATCATCCAATTAGGGGATTTTGCCCAGTTCCCACTCGGTTTGAAATCCGGCAATGCTGTGTATAGCACTGCTCGTGTAAGTTTTCCCTTCCCTCCCCTGCCTGGTGTCATGTTGTCAACTAAAATATAGAATATGGGCCATTAGGTTACAATTATGGCATAGCAATGAAGTGTATTTTTGAAAAAGTTTATTGTTATTTTTTAAGGGCTCACGAAAAAGAAAAAGAGGCTCAAGATCATCTCGTCCCAAAAGTAAAAAGCTGGCAATAACTCCTCAGAACACTCCCAAAAATGCCCTCAAATCTACCCCAGTTTCCACACCTAACACAGCGACGCCTGAACTAGCTGCCAAGATTTCTAAATCAGCAAACAAGGCTGCTTCTGTTTTGTCAAAGTTTCAAATGTCTTCATCMCCSTCGCCTTCACAAGATAAAGCAGAGGAAARTACAGCGGGATATGTGCATGAGAAACTGGAATGGTTAAAAGAGGGGAAACGAAAGTAAGTGAAAAGTTAAAGATGGTTCTTCTTTTTATTCACAATTTTGAAATTACTTTAATAAAAGGTGTGTTAATAGACTTCTRAAGATTTTATGTSAGCTACTTGATTYGCAATGCATTTTGGGATCAGTYTCTGGAGAAAACAAAAGAAATCTACAATATTTTGTCCTAAACATTTCCTACAATKCTTTTCAAATCAAGTATGTGACATAAAAGCTTCAGAGGTCTATTGTAAGGTAATGCCAAGGGCCTTGTGGAAACATTATGTTCTTGTTCTAGAGATAAACATGGCAGACCAATGTCGCATCCTGAGTATGACCCAAAGACCTTACTAGTAAGTGTTTTATTTGTAAAACATTTAAGAAACATTATTGTACAAGATATATTGTTCAATGTGAATGTATACTGCTTTTAAAAACTACACCAAACCTTGTGATTACTCTGAAGTTCCGAATAATCATATAGAGCATAATAATAGTATAGAGTGGAAAAATACAAATTTACCAATAATAGTATAGATCGGAATAATAGTATAGGGTGGAAAAAACGGCAGTACTGGCAGTTTTCACGCATTTTTTTGGCAAAACCGCTGACTTCTCCCCAGTTTCCCCTGTGATCAAATCCGCTGACCAGATGATTTGTGCTCTTAGTTTGCTGTTCGTTCGCGGTTTTGTTTTCGTTTTAGAGACAAAAAGTCTGTCTTTTTGGCAACTTTTTTCAATTTTTTTTCTCACGATATTGTTAATAACTAATTAAGGTAGGCACAGAGAAAAAATTGTATATTCATTAATGATTTGCCTTTTTGCAGGTACCGTCATCATACTTGACATCAAAAGAAGTCACACCGGTAAGTAAATATGGTCTAAAGCTGAGAGTTATGGCTGCCAGGGAGGGGTAGGAGGGGAAGGGAAGGGATGACAAGAAATTAAAGAAATATGCTGCAATAAAACACCTTAATCTGTTGAACAAAAAAAAAAGATGAATAAAAACAAAATACTTTAAATGAAGACATCAATCGTTGATGCAGAATATATGTGAATGTGGACAATGTTTAGTTCAGTTGTTGAGAAAAAAAGTTTAATCCTATAATTTGTATTGTTTTAGATAGATTACATTTAGCTGTACTATAATCAATCCCACAGTGCATCATTTCAAATGTCGCAATGCCAAAAGGGAAAGGATCAATGTCATTGCACAAGCATTAAAAGGATTGTTTTGATATATATTCTAACAATGTCTTTTCTAGGCCATGAGACAGTGGTGGGTTCTTAAAAGCGAAAACTTTGACACAGTTCTATTCTTCAAGGTTTGTGCTCAAAGTATTTTACATAATTAATGTTAGGGTGGCTCTATTCCCTTTTGAAATCTTCAATTAAGAAGGTGGAGCAACATTACATTGAAAATAAAGGCTTCCATATGAACAAGTAATAATCATATCATTGTACATAGTATAATGTGTTGAAATTTCCATTTCTTTTCAAATTATCATGCGAACAGACACCATAGCAACATCATTTTTTAGTAACTAACATGTGTGTACTCAAAGCTTTATTGCTATTTTGTAAGGTTGGGAAGTTCTATGAGCTCTACCATACCGATGCTGCTATAGGTGTCAAGGAACTGAACTTAATCTTTATGAAGGTAAAATAATGGAATTTTGAATGGATAAAAAAATGCATGAACGAACAAATAAAGAAACAAACAAATAGATGAACAGTTGAATTTATTAATTGATTAATAAATAAATTAATAAGTTATTAACATGTGTACACTTTTGCAAATTAATAAAAAGGAATATTTTTGAAAGGCAACATTTTMCCTGTAGGGGGGAGGGGTGAGAACAGATGTTAACACGCTAGCTCTATATTACCTAATTATACAATTTCCCTCTTTTCAGGGYAGCTTTGCWCATGCRGGTTTTCCAGAAATAGCATATGACAGATACTCTTCTACTCTTATTCAGAAAGGATACAAGTAAGAAGAAATRGCAGACTTGTATTTAGTGTTATATTTGATGACTTTAAGGTAAAGTTGTTCTTGTTGCTTTTTAGAGTTGCAAGAGTTGAACAAACAGAAACACCTGATATGATGAAAGAAAGATGTAGAAAAGGTACAGAGATTTTAGCATTCTTTCACATTACAACTTTTAATGTTATCCATAAAATCATCTTTTTTCATTCAAAGCTGGCAGTGGCAAAATCCAGTGTTAATTTTGTCCTTTGAGCCAACTACTTTTACGAAATAGATTGTGGTTATAATTCTTGTGGGCCCTCCTGATTAACATACAGTTACTTTTTCAGAGCAGCCACCTTTAGTTAATACTTCCAAATTTAATGGTTCCCCTACATGAGTTCATTAATTTTGATCATTCATTCATTTGCTTTCTCATTTATTTCTTCATTCGTTCACCCATCCATTCATTACAGTTTATTCATTTATTTGCTCATTCATTTATCCACTCCTTTGCTTTCCCATTCATTTATTCATCCATTCATTTGTTTTTTGTTCATTCAAAGTACACATGACTTTAACCAATGTCATTATTAATTGGATGTATTAATGTTACAGAGAGAACAAATTCAAAATATGATCAAGTAGTAAAAAGAGAAATTTGTGCCATCACAACAAAAGGTAAAAAGCTGCTTGCTTGWATGAATTCTCCTATAACCTGGCATATCATCTAACATTCACCATTTGTCTACAGGAACTAGAATGTACAGTTTTAGGGATGGTGACTGTACAGACTCAGAGGCAGCGTATCTCCTTGCCATTGCAGAAAAGGTTTATTATTTTGCTAATCTTATCTAATATTAATTAATCTAAGAGGGTATAGAATGCTTGTTCTAAGGAAGGGATAGGCTCCCTAATATCAAAGGGCGGAGTCCTCGGCGTCCCTTTTAGGGTTTGAAATCGGTATTTTGGTCCCGCTTAGGGTCATAATGACGAGAATTTCCCCCAACTGAGTTTTGAGGTCCCTTTTAGGGTATATGACGTCCCTAAGCMGTCACATTTCCTATGCCGGAAAGGTTGGTGCTGCATTCAACTAAAACAAAATGACCTGTTATTGATTGGTCCCTTTTAGGGGTGAAATTTCAGCACTGCCACGCCCATCATCTCCATACACAGCAGGTCCCTCTTAGGGGTCATTTTCATAATTTCTGCCAAGGACCCCCGCCCTTTGATATTAGGGAGTCCCACCCCCCAGGGGATAGGCCTTTTGTATGAAACTGTCACATGGTACTAAATCCTCCATCTTCAATGGCAAAATAATGCAAACAACCTCAAAAACAAAAGGAACGCATCCCGTCAAACTTGACTTTCCTTTGTTTTGAACATCCCAGTATGGTGGATTCATTAGCATGTGACTGTTTCTTGCAAAAAGACTAGTGCTTGTTTTGTTGTTTAATTTGCTTTATTTTGTTATTTTTAGGGTTACAATGATACAGCTGGTGGAGGCAGTGTTTATGGTGTCTGCTTTCTTGATACGTCCATTGGGAAATTCCATGTAATTAAAATCATCATCATCATCATCTATTATAATCATTGCATGATTAATGATAAAGTTGTGTAAAAAGATAAATCTTAACACATGACCGTTAAAAAGTAGGTAAGACTGTTTTAAAACAGTGTTAAGATTTTTCTTTTTACCATAACTTGTAGAATTCTCGTGTGCTGATTGGTCGATTGCCGTTGTCGATCCTAGGACAAACCGTTGAAATGATGAATCGCTCGCACACAGAGCCGGCGCACGCTAGACACAGTTTTGTTTTGAAAGTATTACTTTGTTTTCGGCTTTGTCATGGTAAAAAAAAACAACAAATCGAAATCACTTCTATGGTCTGTATGCTTATCGACAATTCAAATGACATCAGAAAATAATCAAAACTTGGCAGTGAAACCACTCGCTACACTCGTGGTTCCACTTGAGTTTTGATCATTTTCTGACGTCATTTTCATTGTCGATAAGCGTACAGACCATAGAAAAGGGATTTCGATTTGTTAATTTTACACAACTGTTTCTTTTGAAACACTGGTCAACACAGCTCAAACTAGTTACCGCTAGTTTCCACCATTCTGATTAATGATATATTGATAATTGTAGCTTGGTCAATTTGAAGATGATCGACAAGCTTCAAGACTAAGGACACTTATTGCTCATCATTCTCCCGTCCAGGTAAGYTCATCACTTTTTTACTTCATGTTAATATGGCTTCTTTGACACAGAACTATTTCCCAGGTTTTGTGCCCTCGTGGTTGTCTGACAAGTAAAACACAGCATGTATTGTCACATGAATTGATGTCGGCRTTGACTGAACATCTAAGCCCAGGTAAATTTGCATTGTCAATAGTTCATGGATGATGATATACAAGGATTTCATTAGAAGGCTGCAAACTCGCACATCTATTTTGACTGACCTTTGGGCTGGATGCTTTTGCTGAATTACAGTTGTATGCTTCTGGCACCTTATGATTCAGATACGATTTTTTCAGAACAGCCACCTACTTCCAAACTTAATGAAACCCATTTCTAGCCATCTCTATCCCTTGCTACCATTTTGGCTTCATTCCAAGTCTACCCCCCTGCATTGTCCATTTCTTTCAGTAGCGTTCTTCTTCAAGTAGTCTTTGGTCTTCCCCTAAACATTCATTTTCRCTTTCCTGATGCCTGATCCAGTTCCATCTTCTACATCTTCTTCTGCTGTTTTTGCTTGTCATTTAAAGCTCACTTGGTGTTTTGTATTAAATCCCAATGTGTACTAATAGGTAATGAATTCTGGGATGCCTCAAAGACGCTGAAATTTCTAGCTGAAGGAAAGTTCTTTCAGCAAGATAAAGAGAAGGAAGGACCTGTGGTAATTGTTATATCAGAACACTTCTGAAACTGCTTCAACATTGAATGTTAAAAGGCTATTAACTATTTTAAGTGAAATTAAATGTGAAGTTGTTTCAATCAAGCTAAATTATCGTTGGCTGTGTATTCACGCATAATTGTGACGCTCATGTCCAAGTTGCGTTGAAACTCAGACACAATTGACAAACGAAATTCTTATAATATTACATAAATTTCAACAGTCAAACAATGTTTATCTTCAAGACTTCATGGGGGCTAAAATGACATAGGTAGTAATATAAATAGGGGGCGAGATGGTGGGGGCGAGATGGAAATGAGGCAAGATGACCGGTAACGGGTAATTAAATTTTATAAAATGAGCAAATGTTTTGTTGCAGCTTTGGCCGGATTTACTGAAAGAGATGACTGGTGGAGGTAGGTTTGCATTTTTTATTCACATTTTAGGGCTCTTCAATGAATAGATAGTGTCCTAGTAGCATATTGTATACAAATGGTTTTGTATTGTAATCGCATCTTGTAAAACGAGGAAGAATAGCATGAAAGTGTATTCACGATGGGTTGTGTTGGYGCTTTAAGTTTAACATCTCACTTTACATGCATGTATTCTGCATTCAAGTCCAGTCTAGTGCAAGCCAGAACATTATGTGGTTTGACTTCATTTCTTGTTTTGTCCCATGCCAAAAATGTGTGKTARTGTGTTTTTGTTGAKAGCTGTCTGAAGTGAGGTTTCCACTGAGCTAAAATGTCAATTGAAAAAGTGAGATTGACCTTGAGAAGAGAGAAATCTCAATTTAGGTTATTGTGTACAAAAAAGAGATGTTTACGTTTCTAATGTTAACATTGATTTTGCACATTTAGATCCTCTTTGCCTCATGGCGTCAGATGGCTACGAGCTGGCCATCAGTGCCTTGGGTGCTATTGTGTGGTACGTTTTCATATAGAAAAAAATTAGAAAATTAATATTGTATGTGTTTCTTCATTGAGATCTAAACAATSTTTCATGATGGTTTACTTAATTAGGTACTTAAAGAAATGTTTGATAGAAGATGAACTACTTTCACTCGGAAAGTTTGAGGTGAGAAATCATKAGTTATTTCTGTTGAGAGATATGCACAATTGTGCCATTTGGTAGCAGCTACAGTGTAATGTAATTTATTTTATTTTATTGTTTTTTTTAGAAATACTTGCCTATTGATTGCATACAGACAGATAAAGGCGGATCTAAATTTGCCCAAGGACGTCAACGCATGGTAATATTACAAAATTATAAGCTTTTAAAATAAAAGACTTCAAATRTTTTGTAAAAGAAAGACTGCTTGTGTCTTAGTCCTCAAAGTATACACCTTTATCATAATGGCGGCAATTGTGTTTTTCCAAAATAAGATAGATATGAATATTTTGTCACTGTAACATCAAAGAACTATCAGAAATAAACGTTTTTGGAAAGTTTTAGAACTCTGCACAAAATAGGGAAAAAGTTACGGTGAAATAAAAATACAAAGAAATGTATGTAATTTTCCACCAATGGCTGTCTGTCTATTTGTTTCTGAATATGAAATATGTGAAAACTTTGTCACTGTCATGTGAATGAACTACCAAAAATAAACATTTTTGGAAAGTTTTACAGCCCTGGATAAAATGCGAACAAAGTTATGGCGAAATGAAAATACAAAGAAATGTATGTAATTTTCWGHCAAGGCCTTTATAGCCTCGTTCTGGTGTTATGATATATTTTAAGTCCTTATAACTTCACCAGAATTTAATGTTTTCATTTCAAACTTTTACATGTTGTTATTAGCACAGGTTGCTATCAGCTGTTAGTTTACTTTGACTAAAATTCTAAATTTTAAAAATTTATGTTAATTAGATGGCGGCCATTATGGTAAAGGTGTAT